TTATTTTCATGAAATCTAACACTATGAACAATGACTTTATACCAATAAAAAAGAGAAAAGCCAGGTCACTCCTTCCAACATGTGAGTTCTGGAGATTGACTCAGTCCACGCAGGCTCAGGGTGGCTCATGACACATTGGTATTCATTAATGTGGTGAAAAAAAAAGTAACCACATTATACATCCTTAAAATAAATGGAAACAGATTTCACCTTAAGTATTCAAAAGTATCCTTTATGTTAAAAGCTGCTATAGGAGATTGGATGAAGTTATTAGTTGATTTTACTTATTTGTTTGGATGTTTCTCTTGGTTTTTGCTCAACAGTTTTTTTTTCTCTTGACCAATGTTAAGCTTCCAAAACAAACAGGCGTGCATGATTAGCACATTAACTTAAGCATAAACCAGCCGTGACAATGTTGCACTCTGTCTGGGGACAAATAATCATAAGGAATCCTACCAAAACCTATTAATCTCACCTTTCCTGAATCTTCCAGTGCTTCAGATCTCATTTTCTCTGTCAGAAGCTTCTCAACCTTTAAATTTGTTCCAAAAATAATCACACGGCCATAAAAAACGAACACTCCAGTTTTAAGAATTAGTTTTCCCATAATTCTAAGCAGCTCCCACCAACAAGTTCAGATCATGAAGCAGAACTCTGAGAATTTTTTTTCTGGTGCAGACCAATAATTACATCCCATACCTTCCCATTCAGTGTCAACTTCTGTACAGCAGAGAAGGAACTAGAAAGTCACCAAAATTCAGATCTAGTAGTGGGATTTTTGGTTTGGTTTGGTTTTTACACTTATAGTGTGTGTGTGTGTGTGTGTGTGTGTGTGTGTGTGTGTGTGTGTGTAAATTGGAGGATACCTTGGGAAAGCCAGTTCACTCCTTCCGCCATATGAGTCCTGGGGATTGACTCAGTCCATCAAGTTTGGCAGCAAGTACTTTACCTGCTCAGTCATCTCATTGGTCCCACAGGCATATGTAACTAAGCTAGTTTGCTGAATAGTTGTTTGCTTTAAGCAGAATGGTAAGGTCACCTCGCCATCAAAGCAAGAATATTCTACCTCCAAAGTCTTTACTTGAAATATCCAAAACAAGCCACTTGCCACATCTGGTGATTTGGTGTGTTAACTGTACCTAGGATTACCAAGGGACTGATTTGTTGTTGTTCATTAATTTTATTAACTTTTATTCTTGAGACAGAGTTTTATTACCATGTTACCAGAGTTCAAATGATCCACCTGCTACAGTATCTTAAGTAGCTGAGACTGTAGGCACTAAAGGTACTGGCCACAGGCACTGGACTCCTACATTTAAATTGTAAAGCTGATACTATGTGTGTTATTAGAAAAACTTTGTGTATGTGTGGAGCATTTGTGTATATGAATCTGCTTTTTATCTATAAGCTTTTTAAAATCTAAATAATAGTCTAGTATTTCTAATAACAATTTAGTGAATATAATGTTGTAATGTAAATGAGAATAGAATATATACTCTATGACAAATACTTGGCAAGATAAACTGTCAAATATTACTTTGATTTTTTAAATAGTTTATATATGTCAAAAGAATGAAACTTTGTATTTATTGGACTAAAGATATTATTCAATTAATTTCTATAGCTTTTTACTTTTTCTTGCATTATATTTGTATTGAACAGCACTTGTAAGAAGAAATATTAATCAATGGGACAAGTACCTAAGATGGGCAGAGCAAAAAATGTGTAGTGTGAGAGAAAATCTGAGAGGCTAGAAAATACTGTAACATCGGCCCCACCACTACTACCATCTGAGCAACCCACACAGCAACATTGGTGTATAAAATGGGTAGAATAGCTTCCTAGACAAAATGTATGCATTTGTAGAATGTTTGGCATATTTTAAAGTTCATATATATATATGAACTTTCATAGGTAATTGACTTCAATATAAAGTAGAAATTTCAAACAATTACTAATAATTAATGCCTCTGGGTAGCTACAGCTTCCTGGAAATAAGACAATATTCAGTGGCTCCTTCTAGCTTATGATACCAGGATAACTTTGCTACTACATTTTACAGATAAATGACAGTAATTTGTGTACTTAATGTTATTATCAAAATGTTCGCGGAATGGGTTTACTATTTCCTTTTGTGGTTTTTTTTTTTCCTTTTTGGTATCTATGTGTATTTATGTATGTATCTGAGTGAGTGCGGTGTCTGTAAACATTTGTGTTTGAGTACATGAGCCCATGTATGTAGATGCTAGATACCTGGTTTCTGGCTCTATCCCTCTCATTCCTTTGAGACAGCATTTCTCACTGACCTGGAGCTATGCTAGAATCCAGCAAGGCTCAGGGATTCTGCTGTGTTCAATTCCCACAGCACTGGAGTTACAGAAGCTCCTGGCCACTCCTTACTTTCTATGTGCCTGCCTGGGCATTTGAGCTCAGGAATTCATGCTTACCGGGGGAGTGCCATCGTCCATCCTCCATGTTTGTTTTAAAACAATGTAAATTGATTTCTAGAAATATCACCATGCTTTTTTGTTTAGTCTTGTGTTTTTAAACCTACCATTAACCTGAAAGTGACTTAAAGCATCACAATACCTGTGAAGCCCTCAGCATTTCTACATTCCTGTCATGGTGGAACGCCTTCACATGTATAGTTTTAACTTATTTAACAAGTGATGTGTAAAAGACGTCAAACATGGAGACCAAAAGGCACATTGTAAAATTAATTGCATCTCATTGTTGTGCTGGATTTGTAATAGAGTACAAACTGTAAATTCTTTCCATACCACAATAATACCATACCACAATCATTGTAAGATTAGAAATGTAAGCCTAGGAAGACTACCATCGATAAAAATAGCATTAAATACTCCTTTACAAAGTGAATAGTAAAAGAATGGATGAAGGTCCTCGTTCATTAGAAACCAATATGTAAATTGAAATATCTATTCCAAATAGCCTAGGTAAACTAATACTACAAAATTCATAACAGATAATTTTCAGAAAGTGAAAAGTGCCAACAAAGGCCTTGGAGGCCCACCCTCTGTGATTAGTCTGGAGTTTCCAAGAAAGCTAAGGTATGATGACCTCTCTTTATCAGCCTGATTATTGTTCTTTGTGCTCCATATCACCCAGGTGAGCCTTTCATTCATGGGTCCAGTCCCTGCCATGCACTAGCAGTTCTTAGACTTCTCTGATTTGTACCATCAGTTACTCAAAAGCACCAATGCAGAATGAAGGTAGAAAAGTGGAACATATTTTAAAATGTCTTCAAAATGTGTTGCACTTCGTCTGTCCCTTTATGTATGTGCATGTACATGCCATCTTAATCATATCTGATTTGTTACCAACATAAATTTGAAGTTAAATTACACAGCATCCAAGTACATAAAAACTACCTTGTTGGATTCTAACAAAACTAGTTTGCTTTTTTTAAAAAAAAATGTTGCTATTTTGCTAGAGTAAAAATCCAAAGCGGAGTTATGGCTTTTCCAGTTCTTAGGTTTGTATAGTAACACAGGCACCCTGATCTCAAGAAATTCCGCTAGTGTCACTCTCAAGCATTCTTTTTCCCCAAGTTGTTCACCAAGTGATGTATTAAGTGAAATACACCTCACATTTAAAAACATCTAGCTTATTAATTCATTTTGAGCAGTGAGTTTTCAAGAAATGAGGATGAAAGGTTGGGAGTCCTTGGGAATTCATCAGACAATAGTTTCTTAATTTGTTTCTTAAGCTACAGTTTCTGGTTTGGTTTTGTTTGCTTGTGGGCTTTTATTGCTGGTCTGCATGAGAGTGCAAGGCACTTGAAAATTAGTGAAGATTTTAATCCCTGTGTCCATTTGGAAATCATTGTGAAGGAACAGTCCTGGATAACTAGATCAAAGTTGGACAGATGAAAGACAAGCATGTTAGCTTCAGAATCTTCAATAAGAGTTCATTTGCTTTTTTTTTGTTTTTGTTTTGGTCCTGTATGTGTTGTTGTTGTTGTTTTAAACTATTTTTCTGAACCTACTACTTAGAGCTAGAGGGATTAAATGTTAAAAAGATGCCATAACCAACAGCTTAAATTCAGTGCTCTCTTTCATAAAATATCAATTAATTCAGCTGCCAGTTACTGCAGGCTTGACATGTGATAACCACTACTCAAAGTACTAAGGGTAAAGGATGAGCCTGTGGATGCCAGACACAAAAGGGAAGCTCGTTAGACTGAACTCCTCTGAAGTGATTTTATTTAAATTGTCACAAATTTATGAAAAAACAAAGCAGTAAGTCTCCTCTTTCGAGTGAGGATGATAAATCTGCTCTCTCGGGTGCCCTGAGATTTCATAACACATTTTACACTTTTTGTTGTTGCTAACAAAAATTAAATCTCCTTATGCAAAGATGTCCTTGGGGAACCAGGCCAATTATAGGGTCTACTAAGGTGAAGACAGAATGGGAGAAAGAGATGAGAAACACAACCAAGAGAAATATGATCATGCAATAAACCAGAGCAAAGCTTTGTGTGATGTTGTCCTCAGTCCAGAACCATACCCAGCCAGTCACTTACAGCAACCAGCCAAGACCTACCCAGAAATAAATAACAACTCACTGTGTGAGAACTATTAGTAAAAGAAAACAGTGCTGAAGTCCTCTGGACAGACTTGTGGGCAGGCAGAAAGCCTTGATAAGTGTAGACTAACAGCGCGTCATCGACTGGTCCTCCAGGTGAAGGAATCCCTTCAGGGCTCCCAGGTGCAGCTTGAAAAAAAAAAAAAAAAACCAGCAACTGCCTTCAGGCATGAATAGCCTGGTCTGACAGGTTTATTTACCTTGCTTTAGCACTTACTACCCTTGGTCCTTAAAAAACCAAATGATAAATCAAGAAGCTTGACCGCTTCTGAGAGAAACACGTTTATTATATCTACAGCAAATACTACTTTTAGAAAGGGATTGACTGACAAAATTCTGTAGCAGTCTGCTGCCTCAGACCCACTCCACCAGGTCACCCCAGTTTCACTTACGCCCAACATCTGGTGGATGTAGTAGTATTCTGGCCCTTGATTGTACAGCAGGAAGGTTTTCCAGAAAAGCAGGACATTTAGGGACAGCCAAATGAGCTAGACCAGTCAAAGAGAGAGAGAAAGCAAAAATTACAAAAGAAATATGGCCCGATACAAACCACTCACTGGACTTAGCTCTGCACATGCAACCTCAGCATTTACCAAAAGCATGCTTAATCAGAAAGTGGAAAAGCCACCAGGACCCTCATGTGAGACTAAGAAATCAGTGGCATCACTATGGCCTAAGGGAACTGAAACAGCAAAGGAGGTAAGCCTTTGAAAGGCTAATGAAGAGCCTCCTTAGCACCCGGGTTCATCCACATAGTCTCTCCATCACTCTGTAGTGAAGTTCCCCAGCGTTGAGCAGGAAGGAGTTATCGCTAGGAAAGTGTAAAGTTGCAATAAGGTGAGAAAGTCTGAAACGAACCCCCCCCCACACACACACACACACACACTTCCACTTCTCTCATCCCACCCGTGCACGTCTCCCAGAATGAATCAAACTCGCTGCAGGACAGACGCAGCGCCAAGCCAGCCCAGCCCGCCAACCTACCAGGCAGAGGTGTTTAACCCCTTCGTTGGCCAGCCAGCTCCTCCAGGACACCGCCATGCCGGCCGGCCGCCCGCCCGGGTGCTGCGCTCCGCTCGGTGCGTGGGGCTGAAAGGAGCGAGTTGAGGCCGGGGCAGCGGTTCCCGGGGCGCGGCCTGCAGGGGGGCCGCGGGGGACCGAGGGTCAAAGGCTGGACCGAGTCCGGAGGCCGGGCAGGAGGTCTCCGCCCCGGCTCCCACCCGCGCCGCGCCCTCGCCTCCCCGCGCCCCCCTGGTCCCGCGCGCCGCCCCGGGCCGGCTCCTTTGTCTCGCGCGAGCCAGTTGTTGTGGCGGCGGCTCAGGACGTCCCGGGTGGGAAGGTGGAGGCTTCCCCTGCAGCCTCCAGCCCCGCCTGCCCAGCTGCAGACGAGCCCCCACCCCCACCCCCTCCAGATGTGTGAATGAGAATCGGAAAGGTGGGGACTCTTTCTGCATCCAGGCGCACACTCGCACACCTACTTTCCTAAGAATGGTTATGTCTCCCCTTCCCCATCCCCCAAAAAAAGTTCAGAAAAAAGAAACTTGGTAAGGCAATTTGAGCCCGGAAGTAGGCTTTTGTGTATTAGCGTCCTCCATCCCGCCAGTCCGAGGTAAGTGGCCCTACCTACAAACAAATAGCACCTCACAGCTATAAACCGGTCTCCCTTTGCCTCTCCCTTCACTATCAGCTGCACCACCCCATCCTATCTTGAGATAAAGCTTTGTAGACCTTGCTAAACACAAAAGGCTGGCAGAGTTAATGCTGACGTCATTTTTAGGAGTTTTAGGAAGGCTCAGATTCCCTCTAGGAATGTGCGCTTTAGGCTGCCTAATTGCAAAGTCCACTTGGTTAAATGAAAACCTCTCAAACTTATACCAGAAGTCCATGAAAGGGTGAGGAGGGTGTAATGGACATAGTTAATTAGACGATTAATCGTATGAAATAATGTCTGTAGCATAATTGATGTTCAGTGGCTTTATTAACATACTCAACAGGTGACAGATGTGCTTAACTTAATCGTGTGACCTGCAAGACTTTTCTTTTAAGATAAAATTGATTTTATCACACTGGCCATGAAATATAGTTGAAACTAAAATATAATAAAATCATGCTGTTCTTACTTCATGAAGTGTCCTTATTTGAGTTAATTTAAGAAACTCTATGATTTCAACCTTCAGTTTGAAAAGCTGGAATAAACATGTATCAACTCCTAGTTGACTTCCACACGTTTCTTTCTGTCATCTCATTTTAATATATAACCTGTCTCAAGCATGAGTGAATCAAGAAAACTTCCCCAACTAGAGTTTAGGACCAGATTATGTGTAAATAGTACTAAAAATCTTATTAGCATTGTTATACCTAAAGAAATAGGAAAGTCACACATGGAAACCGCCCCCCCCCCCCCCAGGAGTATCACCAGTGAAGAAAGATCAGGTATGCATGCTTCTGTCTCTCTCATTCAATAAATGGGGCCAGGTCCACAGGAAGTAAAAGTTGTCATGTCTATGGAATGTGCTGAACAGACCACAACAGTTTGGAAGACTGGTTTCATAAAAGACAAATTTTAAAGTTTCAGCTACTTTCAGAAAAAAAAAAAAAAAAAAAAAAAACAAGGACAAAGACATAAAAGACATCATTTTTGGATGACCATCCAAATCTAATCTAATGTTTCTGCTAAATTTCAGACACTGACCTGTATCTGTATACAAAAGTCTCACTTCTCATAGGAACTCTTTATGGAGATTTGCCTTCTCTAAAGATGAAGAAAAAGCTAAAATAGGCTTTTGTTTATATTAGTTGGGGAAGCAGGTTGGCCAATACTCAACCTGTAATCAAGAGAATGCTGCATGCAAAACCTGATTATGCAATGCATTTCTATTGTTTTGAGGCTATAGAATCTAAGTGCTTTTGCTGACTTGCAATGAAACAAACAGTACAACAGCAAGCCATCCCCCCATCCCCATGGGACAGAGTTACTAATGTGTTATGCGAGAACACTCATTGATAAGGTAAAAGGTTCTTTGCAATAAAATTCTCTCTAAGCCAGAATGTGCAATGTAAGTAGCTAGTGCTTAGAAAGACTGCCCTCAAAAATTATGAGGGACTGGAGAAATAGCTCAGTCAGTAATATGCTTCCAAGGCATGAAGACTTGAGTTCCATTTCCAACACCTAGATTTAAAAAATGTATGACTGGAGCCTAGATTTGTAATCCCAACCCTGGGGAGGCAGAGGCAGGAATATCCCTGAGGTTTACTGACCAGCTGGCTTAGCCCAGTCAGCAGTGAACTCCTGTTCAATGAGTGGCCCTCTCTTTTGAAAATATGGTACGAAGAGTGGTGTTGTGAAGAAATGAGAATGTCCAAAGCCACTTTATTCTCTAAGTCAACACTTGCCTTTGTTTCCACAGCCATGACCAAAATAAAGTCAGCAGGGAATGCTAGAGGAGACAAAGCCCCAAAGGGAAGCTCAGTCTCAGTGATTTTTGAGGTTACCTGCTGAACTTGCTCCTCCAAATCCAGAACCTAAGCCTGAAAAGGCCACTGCAGAGAAAAGATAGACGCTGTCCCAAGGGAAAAGGTGGGGAAGCTGATATTGGCAAGGATGGGAATAGCCCTGTAGGAAATGGAGATGTAAAAACTGAACAGCACAAAAAGCTGAGGGGCTTGAGGAGCCCAGGGAACTGTCTGAATTTTTGGTAACTGTGTGCTTCCGGTGACGGTGGAATTGGAAATACTATTGTTATTAAGTTGTTATGTAAGTGCAGAATTTTGATTTGCTGGTTTGTTTTAAGCAATGTTGTCAGCACACAGAACACACTTCACTGTTTGGAGGGTGAGGAACATGTTGCTAACAAAGTGTCTTCCAAGCTGATATGGGAGAAACAATTCATTCTCCTTGTTTTGAAAGGTTCTTCATGTCTCCCAGGAGGGTTTCTCTGATGCTGATATATTTGGCCACCTTAGCACAAAATGCTTTGTGGTATAGCAAAACTCAGAGTATATTTTCATGTCTTCCCCACTCTCTATCATTAAGAAATTTAGCTCCTTTAAAATACCATTCTTATTTGGACCTGACCCCCTAAAATTGATTTTGCTAGTATATGAAGTGACTGAGTTTTACAAGAACATTACTGAGATGTTATTCCTCAAAAAGCAACAATTCCTTTTCTAAACGACTGTGGTTTTTCAGATTGATAATACTTCTTCCTGCATTTCCTTCCTTGGAAGTCAAAGGTAGCTTCTGAAAATTCACTGAGCAAGGCTTGCCTAAAATGTCTGCCTTCATTCTGAGCTTCTGTTCAGAGCATCAAATACAGATTCCATTGGATTTTGTAGTGTCTTTCTGATTTTGATAGTCCACAGAAGAAGGGAGTTTGAAAGTGCCTAAATACTGTTAATGATTGTCAGCCCATGTCCTGCCTGAAAAACCATTATCAACTGTGAAAGGTGTGTTTAATAAAAAAGTTGAATACAGTTTGACTTAGAAAGTAAAAGTGGTAAAGAGCAATCAAAGAAAGACCGCAATCTCGGACCTTCATAGTCATACAGAAGCACACACACACACACACACACACACAAGTACACATGTGTGTGCGTATAATAATGAAAAGAGAGTTCTGTAGCTCCCCCAGTGTGTTTTAAATATAATGAAAATCATACTTTTTTTTCCAGTTAAAGATTTCACTGGAAAAACTCAGGTGATAAATACCTTTGCTTTTGACTGAAATGGTGTTCAGTTTGCAGTGAGACAGCCAGCTTGGCATCAGGCTATAAAATGTTTCATGACTAGAGATTGCTCTGTTTGTTTGATTTTTTTTTTATTTTTTATTTTTTATTTATTTATTTTTTTTGGTTTGGCTTTTGAAATATAGTCTTCTGTGTGGCCCTGAAAAACCTCTAATTTGCTGTAGTCTTCCTGCCTCAGCTTCCTGAGTGTTGAGGTGACAAGTGTGTCCTAGCAAACCTGGCTTTGTAGCTGCTCTTAATTTATTATATTCTACTTGATAAACACAGAAGCCATTGTTTAATGTCCTCAGTGGGGAATACATGGGTAAAATTGGTTAAGTTTATTCATCCAGCTGTACTGTCCTCCTTTCTGTTTAGGCAAAGAAGCATGAAGATTTGATTTAACAGCTGCTTTGCCACAAACACACAAGTTCATGTAGATGTGTGACCTTAATGTATTAACTAATACCCTGCACATTTTCCACATGATTAATTTTATGCATGCATGTGTTTATGTCTCCTAATAAAGTAGGCTTTGTAAAAAGAAACACCCTGTCTTGTTCAGTTTTAATACAGGCCTTGGCACAAATCTTGACATATTAAGTGGACTTATAAAGTGTTTATTCAATGGATGAATGATTCACAATATTCATATGATCTCTCGCTATGTCTTTCTTAAACTCATTTTATCAAGTGTAGCATCCTAGTAAAGTAAGAAAGTTTTTGCTCATCTTGATAATCAACAACCAGACAAGGGTGAATAGCACAATATACCTCCAGTTGTTTGTCACCTTTCTCACAAGTTAAATGAGACGTCTGTGACAAGTGGACACACATTCATTTCCTGCTGCTGCTGCTGCTGCTGCTGCTGCTGCTACAAATTACTGAGAACTCTCCATTTCAAACCATCAAAATATGTTCCCTAACACATCTGAGGTCCAGAGATCTGAAGTCAGTGCTACCCAGGCAAGACCAGATGTTGACAGGACCATTGACTGAGGTGTCAGAACAAGATCTGTTCCTTGTCACTCCAGCTTCTAGTAGCTAACAGTAATCTTTGACTTGTGCACGTCTGGCCCTCCATGGTTGTAGTATGCTCCTTTCTTTAAACTACCATTAGTCTCTGTCCTCTGAAGACACTCAACTATATAATTTTCTCATGTCAAGACCCTTAACTTAATCATGCTTACAGTAATATTTTGTTGTTGCTGTGTATAAAATCATTGACGGGCTCCAAGAATTGATGCCAGATCTTTCAGGGGTAGCCATTACTCAGTCTACTATTATTGCACTTAAATTAATTGATGTTAATTTTCCTTTTCCTTTTTTCAAACTGAAGATGTCAGCCTTAGATTTTGACTTTTAAAGTAATACACTTTAAGGGATAAAAAAATGTAGCACTTCTAAATGGCATGTCTTTTAGGAACCCACAAATTACATTTTAGAAGTATGATTGACATAGCAGACAAGAATTCTCGAGTTTACTGCTTTTGTTAGCAAATGTCTGATTGCCAAGACACAGTAGTATTAAAACTGAAAAGGAAGAAGGCTTGTATGTTTTTACAAGAAACAAAAAGGGGGAAACCAGGAAAAGCCTGTCCCAGGTACTGCGTGACTGATAGAAA